TGTAGGCTAAAATAGTATAATGTTTCAATTAATAAAAATATCTTAGCGGTCAATGACTAATCTTATGTTCTCCAAAAATTTTAGCCTAAGTATCCCCTAACAAATGTACTAGACTACTTGGTCTAATAATCCATGAAAGGTACACCATAAATCTATGATTTGTCTTGGTCCAAAAACTAAAAAAATCGATACATTACATACCAATGATTTATAAAATTATTAAAAAATATTTATATTAAAAAATAAGTATATCTAGATATTTTTTATCTAAACAAAGAAAATAATAATTATATATTGACAGATATCTTTATATTTTTCTAATAATTAAAAAAATATATTATTATTTTTCTATTATTCGAATATCTGTAGATAATTATCCAATCTGAAACATAAATCTGAATTGCAATCGAGACTAATTATCCAATCTGATCTCTATCTTATTATAAGATAAATATCCGAATCCACCCTTGACAAATCACATATTATCAACAAAAAAAAAGATAGATATCCGATTTTTCGATATTCAACTCTCGAATCGAGACTAATATCCGAAATTCGAATATTTTTGTCACCGGTATCACCAACCGGTGTTAATAACCGATTGCAAACCAGAAGTGGTGAAGTGTGAGCTTACGTGTCGAATATGTGCATAGACCGGTTTAATTAATTCGATTCAGTTCGACTCGAATCTGATTCGGTTAATATCGGTCTAATTTTGTTCGATTGGTTCTTGACTAACAAGCCAAACCTAAAATCTCCACACAACATACTGTGCCCATAGATAGAACACGAATTGATCTGGAGATGGCGAGAGATAGCTGTTTGGCTCGTGTAACTGCCGGAGTTGCCGTCGGCGGCGCTGTCGGCGGCGCTGTTGGTATGTAATCTGTCTTTGCCTCCGTCGGATTTCTGTTATCGGCGTTTACTCGGTAAACCCTAATCATGGGCTATCAGTTCAAATCTATGTCGATAATTGGATCATTCACAATGATGGTTTCTTCATTTTGCTCGAATTCGGTTTATCTGGCATTCTAATTCCAACTTGTGGTCTCAGATACAGAGTATTGATTCGATTGAAGAATTTTTAGATTCTGGGGATTATGTTTAACGTGTTTTCCTCAAACATGGATGATTTGTCGCTTTTTTAGGCTGAGTTTTTTCTCCTGGACATTGATAGTTGAAGATTCAGTGATGATGTTGGAATCGATTATTTTAAAAGAAATATTTTGCTTTTTTTTTCTGGTTTCAGGTGCTGTCTATGGAACATACGAGGCAATTAGATACAAGGTAACATGTTTTTAAGTGTTTTCTACTTCATCTCTTTCGTCTTTTAATCATCGAGATGTTAAATTGAACTCTCTTTTTATCGGTAATCGAGTATTCTGAACCAAGTTACAGATGAATCTTGGGGTCGAGAATAAACTATGTAATTTGGAATATACGCCTCTCCCTAAATTTGAGGTTCAAACTCGGGGTGTGACAAACATTTTGCATCCGTTTCACCAGTTGAACTGCCAGATTTGAGTTGATTTTGGTTCTTGATGATATCCATGAGTGCTTTACTTTGAGCTCCTTTACTGATGGCACTTGTGTAAATATGTCACAATTTCATTGCTAATTTGCCTTGAGGTCTGGTAATCCTAGAACAAGCAAGCCCCTGGTTTCTTTAGTTTTTGGTGTTATGTAATGTGTTGGCAATAAAAATTGGTTACCATAGATGCATAGGTGTGTTTCAGCATTATAATCATTTTTGTCCGACTCGTTGCAGGTCCCGGGACTTATGAAAATCAGATACATAGGGCAAACGACTCTCGGCAGCGCAGCTATTTTCGGGCTCTTCCTCGGGACTGGCAGCTTGATACACTGTGGAAAATCTTACTGATTATCCTCTTTTGCTTTGTGAAACATAGTATTAGAGTTTGTGTTCCATATAGTCTTATTGGGTAGAGAGATCTGCCTGGTGGGAGTGATCTTTGTTTCTATAGGATGTTTTTTTTTTTGTCTATAAAGATTCTTGAATGGATGAATTTTCCAGTTTTTTATTCTATTTGATAGGATTTTTGTTTTGGATCAAGGTTAATTTTTATGACTTGGGAGAATATTTATACAAAAGATTACAAAAACAAAAAATAAAAGAATACACATGTTTAAAAAAAACATAACCAAAAGCTACCTCCTCAGACAATTTGAGACTCCACCCAAACCCATTAGTCTATAAATTCCGAAGAATAATAATTATGATCAAATTATTCAATTAATATATAAAAAGAATAAAAAAACTAGACTAAAATATAAGAATACCATTAAAAGATTTTTACATGGAAAACTATTATTAAATGATACAACCCATGCATGATTTTGTAGGATGCTTTCAATTGATGATTGTTTTGGACATAAGATAAAATGCGGTAGGATGATTGTGCAAAAATGACAAAAAATAAGAATATTAAATTTAATGTAATAATAATTATATTTAATTATGAATAATTATCACTATAAATTTCATGAAATATTAAATTTGAACAATCCCAGATTTTATAATACCATGATAAATTAAAATTTTAAAAAATGTATCCCAAGTGATTTCATAAAAACATATTAAGTTTCTTTATAAAATTTATAAAATTTTAAATATATTTACTAAATGCCCCCATATAGAATATTAAAATTAGATTGTGCCCCCTTCTAAATATTTCTCTAGGTCTGTCCATGAGGAATCCATCCCGTGTTTTCGGAAAGCATCCGACACCTTGGCCGCTTAGCATGTATCAGAACACCAAGTTGCGATGGCCCCCAAGTACCAAGGTACCTTATTAATGCACCGCGGAGTCCATGCATCACAAATATCTGCAGGTGATAGTCCTCCATCGAACTACCCCTTCATCTAGTCAATGTCCAGCTCAATCAATCCATCGAACTTCGTCTTTGATCCGACCATGGTACGCCCGTGATTTCCTTTTCCGTTAAGGCTGTTTGGAAAGGGTTTCGCAACCCCGCGCACAATGTGCCATGGTACGGTGCAGTTTGGTTTAAGCAACGCATCCCAGACATGCGGGGTATTCCGATGACTCCTTTATGTGGTCTATGTAACGTAGATCATCTATTTTTTTAATATCCCTTTACATCTTTCTTTTGAAAGCGCGTGTGAAGGAAGTTAGGATTTACCGAGTCTTCGGTTCAACTAATCCCTAGGTCCGGAGATAGTCTACCTTTAGAGCAGTTAAATTGTCCCCTCCTCCGCATTTATGGAATTGAACATATCATTTCTGCAATTAGATATACAATCAATAGATCATCACAAGATGGACATCTCTACATTTGGTAAATCACCATATACATGATTTGAAAGGAAATGAATAATCGACTTCTTAACCAAATCTTCTCTATTATATAATTTAGATCATTAATAGAATCAACCTTTATAAAAAAAATATTTGAGACGAATGATAAAAATGTTTTATAATAAACTAGTTACCGAAGGGAAAAACCCTAGGTCAGGTGGTTGGGAGTATGGGGTGGCGCCCATGAGGTGGGGGGTTCGATCCCTCATCGCCTCAATTCCTCTGACCTGCTCGCATGTCAGTCTGTGGGTTGATTTACCTCTCACGTATGTGTTGCAGACTCATGTGTATGGGCTTAGGGTTTTCTCAAATCTGCGACGAAAGTCCAACCCGAAGGAATGTAGGATAGAGTTCCCAATGTCATCCAAAAAAAAAAATACCAGTTACCGAACCTAAACGGTCAAAAACACGGCTCACGTACTAAAAACTGATTTCCTCGCGAAGAGAGAGCTAAACGACAAAAGTCAGATTATTGTCTCAACGGGAAAAAGAGCAATTCAAACTTATTTAAAAAAGTGAAGTTAATTTTTTTTTAAAAAAAGCACAAAATAAAAATAAAAATAAAAATGTCAGGAAACATTCGGTTTAAAACCCAAAGACGCCGATTCCAAAACAGCTCCTCTGCATTTTCTCTCCTTCTTCCATCTTCTTCTTTGTTCATAACCAGAGAAAATCAATCATTCCACGATCAGAATCCCACGTTCTCCTGTTCATTTTCTTCCGCGATCTTCTTCGGTAATCTTTTTTGTGATTAGTCGGTGAGGATCTTGTTTTTTTTCTTTTCTCTTTCTATCTGCTTTCTTGGGAGGGGCTTCCTGTGGTTTTTCATTTCGCTTTGATTCTAGGGTTTTGATTTTTTTTTTTTCTGAATTAGCTGAGAATCTTTGTTCGAATTTTAGGTTTTCTGAAACCCTAAGAGTCGTCGGAATCTTTTGATTCTTCTGTGTTTAGCGAGTTGAGTTCAATGGCGGGATTGACTGATAATAACATGGTCTTCTTGGAGAAGACGAAATCCTCGACTGCTTCATCGACATTCTTTAACCAATCGTTTACGATTCACGCAAGACCAGCGGAGTCAAATTCTAAATCTCGTTACTACCTTAATCCGTCTCTCAATCGTACCACGCGCGTTACCAAATTCTACAGCCCGATGGAATCGATGGGGAATTCCCTCAAAGGAAAGGTCAAGAGCCTCTGTAGATTATTCGAAGGCTCAAGATCCTCGAAATCGAACTCAACAGAGTCACAATCAACGCTTGCAAAGACGAAATCGGGGAAGATTCAGGTACCTGATTCAAGAATGCCCCCGTCTTCGAACTTGAACTGCTCGTCGATTCAACTTCCGGGAACAGAGGATAGGATCGTGGTGTATTTCACTAGTTTACGAGGAATTAGGCGAACTTACGAGGACTGCTATGCGGTACGGATGATATTTAGAGGGTTTAGGGTTTTGGTCGATGAGCGGGATGTCTCCATGGATTCTGCGTGCAGGAAAGAGTTGCAGAGTGTGATGGGCGAGAAGAATGTGACATTGCCTCAGGTGTTCATCAGAGGGAAGCATGTGGGTGGTGCCGATGTGATCAAGGGATTGTTCGAGACTGGGGATCTAGCCAAGATCCTCGAAGGGCTCCCAGTTAGACAACCTGGGTTCGTGTGTCAAAGCTGTGGGGACGTGAGATTCATGCCGTGCTTGAATTGTAGCGGGGGCAAGAAAGTGTTTGACGAGGACGAAGGTACGATCAAGAGATGCCCAGAATGTAATGAGAATGGCTTGATACGATGCCCGGATTGCTACAACTGAGGGATCAATCCAGGAAAATAAGCCCAAAAAACAAGAAAGAAGAGAAAAACAGGTGTGTTTTCATTGTGGTCGGCAACTATGTCCTACAATGCCGGAACCCAAAAAACTCTTTTGGATCCGAAGCGTTTTGTTTTCGCTGTCCATGTATAGAGTTGTGATCATCGGTACGAGACCGTTTGATGATCATTAGCTTAGGGGTTTTTTAGCAGCTTTGGCTATTAATGTTGAAATCAAAATGCCGAAATGGGTTATATAGCAAGCATTTCTGCTTTGTCTGTGTTTGGTGTCACTGAGACAACTCTGTTCTTTCTTGTATTCTGATTTGTAAATATTAGTGTGCTTATAACTCCGTAGCAACTAATATGGTTTGATGATATTAAGAAAATGAATAATTGGGTCTATTATACTCTGTGTCAGCCGATTAAGTGTTGTTTCATCTACGGTGGTCTTTTGGAACCGTACCGAACCGAAAAATGTGGTACCGTTTTCAAACCGGAATTGTCTAAAATATTTTAACATTAATTTTTTTTAGAAAATAGAATTTTCCGGAATCGAAGCAAACCGACTATTAAAAAACCCAAAAAATAATTTTTTTTAAGAAAAATTAATTTTTTTTAACAAAAACCGAATCGAATATCAAATAATAATCGATTGGTATATATTTTTATAAAACTCAAAAAACCGAATCAAATATCAAAACGCAGATCCCTCAGCTTATTATTCGATCCCTCGTATTATTAGGTGTTGATGCCAATTCATCTGTCTTGGTGTTTTCTAATAACCTTTTTGTTGCTCTTTTTTATTAACCGGATATTTTGTACCGAGATCCAAACTAATCTTGGGATTGGGAATAAGTCATGCACTCATTTCCAATTTGAGGTTCGAACTCGATATGCGATAGACACTTTCCGATCCCATTTTATCGGTTGAATTATCCAAATTATGCAAGTCACGGCGTTTTCTACAATTTTGAGCACTTACCTTTGGTGGTACTTTTTTTTCCGTTACAATGAATTACGTTAGCATGTACCAATGGCGATCAAATTGAATAACTAGTGACATTGTAAAATAAGAGTTCATGGTTAAGTTACAAGTAAGATGGAATATGTAAAATAGAATAGAACTTAATCAAATAAAATAAGATCTGAATTCGATATGATTTAAAAATGATTCGGTATGTTTATTCTTAAACTAAATTAAAATTGAATAAAAATAGCGAAAATATCCAATGAAAATGAAAATGATTTTTTTAAAAAAAATTTCTCTAATGAAATTTGAATTTATTCTAATTTAAATTAAACGTTAAATGAATATAATTGTTTTCAAAATAAAAAAAAATGAATCTGAAAATAACTAAACTAAAACCAAAACGAAATGAGAAATATGGGATTTAAATCTTATAATCTAACAGTTTCGATGTACTTTGGAAGTTCGCAATCTAAATATGATTTTTTGTTAAATGGTTAGTGAGAAGATTTCTTGTCATAATCATAAATAGTAGTGCAATAGTTTTTCTTAATAATTTTTTTTATAATCCGAAAATTTAACAAAACTTTGGTGTAACTATATCTTATAGAAGGTCGAAAACACTAAGATAAATGTATTTTTTCAAATGGAGAATCTAACATGTATTGTGAAATAGTTTTACCTTATCTTTTATCAGTTTAACCATCCATTCTTGTATTTTGGTCGAGAGATGTTTTATTTGTGTGCATTATTTTTTCGATTTCTCTTTTCTTTTCTTTTTTTTTGGTAAAAGGTATATATTCGATCCGATTTCTCTTTTCTTTTTGTAAAATATATTTCAGCATTTCTTTATAAATATGTTAGTTTTCATTTCATGTTTAATAGTCATAGTAATATGCTTTTTCATTTTTAACCTAATATGTATGTTCACTTATAATTCAATATGTACATAAATATATAATTTTTTTTAATGATTGGTCTCTATATTGCGGTTCTGCATAAAAAACAATTTGAACGGTACAAAATTAAGGATATCGAATGACTTGGAAACGAAACGATTTAGTTCGAAAAATATCAAATAATATTTCGGTTTTTTTTTTAAAATAAAAATGTATTAAATATTAATACTTACTAGTCATATTGTTTGTGTGCCACTTAAATGAACGTACCTAATAAGATTCATTAAAATTCATTTGTGTAACAGAGAAACACAGTTACAAATTGTTTTATTATAAAACCTTGTATTTATTTAGCAAAACCATATCATATTAAACCGAATAATATACGATACTAATTTCTAACTGTTTCTGAAATGAATCGTTAAAATTCTTAACCGATTCTTAAAACAGCCCTCTCTAATTTTTCTCATTCCATAAAATAATAAAAAAAAAACAAAAGAATGAACAATGATTAGTGTTAAAAGTGAGGGAAAACATCATCACCATTCATAACCATAACCAAGAAATCTAAAGGCCTTTTCGTCAATGAGTGTGTTGTTGTGGTTGCACGGTCCATTTTCTTCACTTTATTCATACTCCATTTCCATATCCATTCACCTAACTATTTTTCATTGAAGCAAGAATCAATATTTAATTAAAGGGCAAAAATCAGCCAACAAAACAAGATAAACACTTGAGGGGAATTTTTGAGAAAGCCCCTCCCCCTCCTTGTTGGTTTATTACTTTTGTTTAACCCTCCTACTTTTCGTTTTTTTAACATTTACCCCATTACTTATATCATATACACTAGTTTACAAATTTCGGATTCTGATTTTCTTTTCCCAGATTATCGGTATCCTGGGCCGAGGTAAAAACTCCCTCCCAAACTTAAGACCCAAACTCAGGATAAGACAGACGTTTTATACTGCGTTTCACGGGTTAAATTATCCAAATTAGGTTTCGAATTCTGATTTGGTTTATATCAATTCATAATTTGGTATCGATTGATAAATTGCTAACATTTTATATGATTTTTTTTTATTTCGATAAGATTGTGTTGTGTGCAATTCGAATATAGTAAGTTTAGTTTGCCAAAAATATTATTAGAAAAAAATGAAAAATTTAATTAAAAAAAACTATAGAATCATAATATTGCATTCCTCCAAAAGAATCGCTTTGGTAAAACTCTTGAAACCACAAAGGACAGAGCAGAAGACAGCGTCTTTCCTCTCGAAATCAGATATATATCATTGAGTGAGAGGAACACACTCGAGCTCTATCTCAAGAACACCTCTCTCCACTTTCTGAAGCCTAAGAGTTATGTCCTGTTTTACCTTCCCTTCTACCAGAGAGATTATACTGTCACTCACCAGCGTATTCTCCTTGCTCGCCACCCAGCTCCCCAGCTGCATCGATTCCCTTATGTTCGACGTCTCGTATGCTTTTGCCGCGCTTACCAACGGTTGGATATCTATCTCGGCTTCTCCCATGAAGTCGTCTGTCGAGAAAGTGTCCTTATCGTACACGAGCTGCATATTCGTACCGCAAAAGCTTCAGGTGCGAAAAACCGTACGAAGAAAATGCAGAACTCGGGTATTCGGGGGTTGGAGAATAGGCCGTGGGTAGAACTCGCCCGGAAAAAAGTTGGTTTATTCGGAGACGGACATGGACCAATCTCATACTCGATCTACGTGGGATACTAACATATTGTCACTAGATGCATTTAATTCTCTTTTGACATTGTTCGGTTTGGTTAGGTATTCCTGGTGAATTCTTGAACACTAGTTAAACTTACCACTCTGAGGGGAGGCATGTGGTCGGGGATTGAAAGCATCAGCGTCTCGTTCCACACCGGATTCAAGTTGTTCTTTATGACCCGAGTCTTCACGAACTGCATAAAAAGGAGGGTACCGAGAAATTTTGGTTAACGTAATATAGAAAACGAGAAACTGATGATAGGTAAGAAGATTGGCTGAGGATTTGGGGGAATTGGTTCTCACCTGTTGCCCGAGAGCGAGTTTGACATAAGGATCGCTGGTCATCACGTCTCGAACAGCAAGATTGGTGCCTTTTACCACATTAACCTTTATCAACCCGACAAATTCGATCATACCCGCCTATAAACATTCCAGTAAGAGTAACAATATCCGTAAACCCGTATCACGTCATGTAAAAGGTTTACAGTCTCGAAACGTGTAGAACGGTTACCATGGATTGGCTCTTTTTCGGGCCCTTGTGATCAGAATCTCTTCTTCCCCAGCTATTCCGGAATGAATGACCAATTCGGTTTTTGGTAGAACGGTGGCTTGACGAAGAATTCAATGAGGATGACGAGGTTCTTCTCCCGGGATGATAAGGGCATGAAGCACCGTCATTAGGGTCCATAAATTGTTGCTGCTCGTATTTTCGTCTGAATATTCAAGAACCAAGATCAAAATTTCATCCCCACGAACGTCTTGTATGGCATTGATTCGTGTAGAATAGGCTAACAGTTTTACCTAATGAAATCAGAACGCTCCTCAATAGGCGAATCTGGTTTCGGTTTCTTGATATTGTTGGGGATGCAAGCTTCAAACTTTTTGTTTACGGCTTCATTTCCCCCGAAACCCATCAGCATATCCACCTGTTCATCCGTCCATTCGTCCAGTTTCACCGATAGAACCTGTGGTCGGTTTGAAAGGCAAAAACATCGTAAGATGCTTTCGTCTGATTGATGCGGAGACCAAAACATCATCAACGCTCAAGAAGATGTCCGTTACCTTTGATATATGAACTCCAAGACTTCTGTGTACACCCGAACACTTTATGCAGATAAACACGCCTATACTAAACGATCTGATATCCATGAAATGCATCAGTCTACATACACACATACAGACTGACATACATTCGAACAGACGGATATATACATACGCGCACGCATTCGATATGAACGCGTACATTTCAGACAGAATTGACACTTACACCCATTTAGGATCGGTAGATCCACAGTCCGCACAGTATTTGTTTCCACATTGCCTCATCATGTTCTCCAACTTCTCCCTCGGATCTGAGTCAAACAAAGTTTCAAATATTTTCTCGGCTATACAACTTCAAGGGTGAAATTCACAAGAATTTTCCGGGAAAATCTTGATCCATTTTGGAAAAAAAAAACTAGAAAATTACCGCAAGAAACTGCGTGCAGATCCGTCTGAGGACCCCATCTGGGTGTTTCTGAACACAAAAGATCGTACAAGCAAGCATCTGAACCTATGGTTGAAACTATTCATATGATCAAAACGTTCATAAACATGTCAAAATAACCCCAAATTATGCAACAGAATCTGTCTTCAATATCACATAATGACATTCAAACGTTACCAGAAACTTCGAAGGGATCGACGTTTTCTTGTCCGCAAGACATTACAGAACCTCTAAAAGATCACGCCTCAGAGAAAAAAAAAATGGAACACCAGGTTCATAAGGGCTTGTTCGATCAAATATCAAAATTTTACGACATTTCCTGAAAATGGCATAAAAATTGCAAAAAAAAAAACTAATTAAAATAATGAAATCGAATTGCAACAACGAGAAATTAAACAAATAGAAGAGGGATTTAAAGGGTTCCGTGAAGGTTGAATCCTCTGATTTGGGTTAGTACCGAATTCAAGGAAAGCCCAAATAAGGAAATCCAAACCATTGAGCCTCCTGCAACTGAAAACCCGGAAAAAAAATCCATGAGATCAACCGAATTTCCAGAGAGGAAGAACAAAAACAAAAAGAAAGAAATTTAAATCGGTGTAATTACCGGGATCCAAATTAAAGGCAAATCAAATGGAATCAAGCGGAAAAGGATCTTGTCTGGGAATTTAGGTTGCTGCTGGCAAGGAGAGGAGAAAGAACAACCTTGGGTTCGGTCTCTGTTTTTTCTCTTTTTGTCGGAAAGAGAGACGAGCACGAGATGATTCTCTATGGAATGTGACGGGCGCATCAGAGAACGAAATATGGATTTTCCCTTTTGTTTTCTTTTTCGAAACAGAAACTTTAGTCCCTTCTCGTTCATTTTTAAATTTGGACAAGACTAAAATAAGTCAAAGTGTTTACATTTATTTTTAAATTTTGTTCATATAAAAAAAATAAATCATAAATAATAAGTCAAACCATTGACTTTTAGCTCTAACGATTCATTTCTGCCAAAGAAGATCAACGAGGACTTTCCAAAATATTATAAAATAGGTAGGGATGTCACAGAAGTCCGCCCGAAAAAGTTAGGGTCAAAACTTATAAATATACATCGGTTAAGATTTCGGACATTTGGGCTTCGAACCAAATGAATTTCGGATCAAATCGGATCGGGTCAATCGAACTTCGAGTCGGGTCTGATATCCGAACTTTTTCTTTTGTCCTAAAAGTCTTTTCATCATCTAACCTTTACCGTTCACTTCTTACGGTTTTTATTCAAAATAAATTTGGCCGTTTTATAAAACAAACTATTTAATTAATTTTTTTATATTATTTTGATAAACAATTTCGCTAGATGATAGGGATATAAAGTGTGATCTAATTTTTGTTTAATTATCCTAGACACAAATACTGCAATATGTGTCGATTATAATATCTAGGGTCGAATATAGAGAACACGCATTAGCGATACATTTTACGATTTTACTCGGTACTTAGTCTATGGTGATATTGATTAGGGCTGGGCATTTAAACCCGTTACCCACGGATAAGCGGGTACTCGATCTCGTGGATATCCGAAAAACGGGTACTCGACACCTAACAAAGACGAAAACGAATATTAAAAACTAGAATACTCGTCATACGGATTCGGATTCGGGTTTTACATATTGAAATAACGGATACCCGCGGGTACCCGCATATATATTAAAGTTACAAAATTAACCTTACGTTTTTAATATAATTTCGAAAATACTTACCTTTAGGATTATATATTGGATTTTCAAGTTTTGATGGATTCAACTTCAAATTATTGTATATTTTTTAAAATGTTTCTAGGATTCTATGCATATTATTATATTTTAAGAATTTTCAAATTTAAAAATATATTTTTGGAATAAAATATGTATATTTTTATTGATTATTTAATTTAATTTTATAT